GGTTGGATTAGGCCCAGTTCGTCTCCTTTCGGAGCACCTGTCCTCTTTGTTCCTAAGAAAGAGGGAGAGCTGAGAATGTGCATAGACTATAGGGGTCTGAATGCGATTACAGTGAAGAATGTTGAGCCACTCCCAAGGATAGACGATCTTTTAGATCGAGTGCAGGGGGCCAAGTATTTCTCCAAGATAGATTTAAAGTCCGGATATCATCAAATAGAGGTACATCCTGATGATCAGTATAAAACAGCCTTCCGGACCAGGTATGGGCATTATGAGTTTATAGTGATGCCCTTTGGACTAACCAATGCGCCAGCTACGTTCCAGCGCTATATGAACAATTTGTTTAGGCCGTGGTTAGATAGATTTGTTGTAGTTTACTTGGATGACATTTTAGTGTTTAGTAGGACCCTCGAAGAGCATCAGGGTCATCTCAGGCAGGTCTTGGAGAAGCTGAGGGAAGCTAACTTCAAGATCAATGCAAAGAAGTGCGATTGGGCGAAGACCCAAGTTCTGTATTTAGGCCACGTCTTAGATGGAGACGGCGTTAAGCCAGAGGATAGCAAGATCGCAGCGATTAGAGATTGGCCCACGCCACGTACGCTGACAGAGTTGTGCTCGTTCCTGGGCTTAGCAAATTACTACAGGAAGTTCATGAGGAACTTCTCCACCATCGCTGCGCCCCTTCGCAGATTGCTGAGAAAAGAGACAATCTGGAAGTGGGACAAGGACTGCACGTCTGCGATGAAGAAATTAAAGCAGGCATTGATAGAGTATCCGGTCCTTAAGGTCGCCGATCCGTCCTTGCCTTTTGTCGTTACTACGGATGCTAGCCAGTACGGCATAGGCGCTGTGTTACAGCAAGACGATGGCAATGGCTATAGACCCGTAGAGTTCATGTCCGCTAGAATGCCTTCAGAGAAGGTCGCGACATCTACCTATGAGAGGGAACTCTACGCTCTCAGGCAAGCGTTAGACCACTGGAAGCACTACTTGCTTGGGAGGCACTTCAAAGTCTATTYTGACCATGAAACGTTACGATGGTTAAAGACGTAGGCCAAGATGACACCTAAGCTTACTAGGTGGGCCGCAGAGATAGATCAGTACGACTTTGAGCTCAAGCCTGTCAAAGGGAAGTATAGCGTAGTTGCGGACGCTCTGAGTAGAAGGGCTGATTACTTCGGGGCAATAGTGCACTACCTCGATATAGGGAAGGACCTACAACAGAAGGTCAGAGAAGCTTACGCGCAGGACCCTATCTATAGTGAGCTCCTTAAGAAAGYCAAGGAGGCCCCGGAGACTGAGCCGAATTACCGCACTACTGAAGGGTTGCTTTTTGAGAAGACTAATGTCTTTGACCGCCTGTGCATCCCCAATAACGAAGAGGTTCATAGTCTGATTTTGGGCGAGTGCCATGACACAGAGGGTCATTTAGGTTGGCAAAAGACTTTAGCCAATCGAATGCGCGCGTAAACCTGTCCAGGAATGAAGAATGACTGCGTAGAATATCTTCGCAGTTGCAAAGTCTGCCAGCGTAACAAGAGTTCTACACGCGCCCCGCTAGGTCTTCTCAGACCCTTGCCCATTCCGGATCAGCCGGGAGACTCAGTGTCCATAGACTTCATGGACACTCAAGTCAAGAGTAGGCATGGCAAGAGCCAAGTCATGGTCATAGTTGACCGTTTTAGTAAGTACGCAGTTTTTGTTCCGTTGCCTTCCGAGGCGCGTACTGATTTAGTCATACAGAGGTTCTTTGACTGCTGGGTTAGTGAGAATGGAATCCCGCTGTCTATACTTAGCGATAGTATACGGATCCAAGTTGTTGATGTCGTCCGGCCGCCATCCAGAGACTAAGGGCCAGACAGAGCAAATGAACAAGATCCTACAGCAAGTTCTGCGCATGTATATTAGGCCAGAYCAGATTAACTGGGATGAGATGTTGCCTAAAGTAGCTAGTGCGTACAATAACAGCGTGCATCTAGCCACCTGCCGCACTCCCAACGAACTGCACAAGTCCTTTAGACCGCGCAGACCGTTTGAGGGACTTAACCGGGATCAGATTCAGAGATTGCCGCCCGGGACCAGGGAGTTTGCTGTGCAGCACGAGAAAGAACTAGCTACTGTCGTAGAGAACCTCAGAAAAGCCCAGCATAGGATGATAGAGCAAGCGAACAAACATCGTCGCCCTTCACAGTTTCAAGTAGGCGACTTAGTCTGGGTTAGTTCCAAAGAGTTTGCGCCAGAGGAGAACATCTCGCAGAAGTTACTGCCCACATATAGAGGACCGTGGCCTGTTCTGGAAGTCAAGGGCGGCGAAGAAGGACCGTCCTATACAATCGAACTACCAGCACACCTCCACATGTATCCAGTTTTCCACGCATCGAAGTTGCTACCTTGTCACACAAGTGATCAGTTTCCATCCCGTAGATCGATGATCCCACCTGATATGGATGGAAGATATGACATAGATGGTATATTGGCTGAAGATGTCTTCAGAACTGGAGGTAGGGGTCGTCCGCAGAAACAATACAAGGTTCATTTTAGTTATCAGGAACCGGAAGACGACCGCTGGTTTACAAGATCTGAACTTCTAGAGACTGCTCCCGATATAGTCCGGGCCTACGAGAGACTGCAAAAAGGTAAAGGTCCTGCCTTGGACTGAAATTTTCTCGGAGGACCTCGAATTTAGGCCGGCGGGAGTGAAAAGGTATTCACCAATTCGCAGTAGCGAATGCAGGTCCCAGGGCTCGATCCCTAGTTCCCCATCTTACCTGTGTACAGTATTGAGGTCAACCTGTAGATTTGAACCTGCGGCCTGTCGAAACGCCAGTGGTAGGTAGATTGTCGTAGGTCACAGCTTAGAAGAGATTTGAACTGTAGACCTGTAGGGTAGGAGTCTAGACAGTTCTNCCCATTCCGGATCAGCCGGGAGACTCAGTGTCCATAGACTTCATGGACACTCAAGTCAAGAGTAGGCATGGCAAGAGCCAAGTCATGGTCATAGTTGACCGTTTTAGTAAGTACGCAGTTTTTGTTCCGTTGCCTTCCGAGGCGCGTACTGATTTAGTCATACAGAGGTTCTTTGACTGCTGGGTTAGTGAGAATGGAATCCCGCTGTCTATACTTAGCGATAGTATACGGATCCAAGTTGTTGATGTCGTCCGGCCGCCATCCAGAGACTAAGGGCCAGACAGAGCAAATGAACAAGATCCTACAGCAAGTTCTGCGCATGTATATTAGGCCAGAYCAGATTAACTGGGATGAGATGTTGCCTAAAGTAGCTAGTGCGTACAATAACAGCGTGCATCTAGCCACCTGCCGCACTCCCAACGAACTGCACAAGTCCTTTAGACCGCGCAGACCGTTTGAGGGACTTAACCGGGATCAGATTCAGAGATTGCCGCCCGGGACCAGGGAGTTTGCTGTGCAGCACGAGAAAGAACTAGCTACTGTCGTAGAGAACCTCAGAAAAGCCCAGCATAGGATGATAGAGCAAGCGAACAAACATCGTCGCCCTTCACAGTTTCAAGTAGGCGACTTAGTCTGGGTTAGTTCCAAAGAGTTTGCGCCAGAGGAGAACATCTCGCAGAAGTTACTGCCCACATATAGAGGACCGTGGCCTGTTCTGGAAGTCAAGGGCGGCGAAGAAGGACCGTCCTATACAATCGAACTACCAGCACACCTCCACATGTATCCAGTTTTCCACGCATCGAAGTTGCTACCTTGTCACACAAGTGATCAGTTTCCATCCCGTAGATCGATGATCCCACCTGATATGGATGGAAGATATGACATAGATGGTATATTGGCTGAAGATGTCTTCAGAACTGGAGGTAGGGGTCGTCCGCAGAAACAATACAAGGTTCATTTTAGTTATCAGGAACCGGAAGACGACCGCTGGTTTACAAGATCTGAACTTCTAGAGACTGCTCCCGATATAGTCCGGGCCTACGAGAGACTGCAAAAAGGTAAAGGTCCTGCCTTGGACTGAAATTTTCTCGGAGGACCTCGAATTTAGGCCGGCGGGAGTGAAAAGGTATTCACCAATTCGCAGTAGCGAATGCAGGTCCCAGGGCTCGATCCCTAGTTCCCCATCTTACCTGTGTACAGTATTGAGGTCAACCTGTAGATTTGAACCTGCGGCCTGTCGAAACGCCAGTGGTAGGTAGATTGTCGTAGGTCACAGCTTAGAAGAGATTTGAACTGTAGACCTGTAGGGTAGGAGTCTAGACAGTTCTAAGGTCGTAGCTGTAGACTGCCTGAAGGGTCAAGGTCGTAGCCGCTACTTGCCTGAAAGGGCAAAGTCGTAGCTGCTACAGTCCCGAAGGGCCAGCGTAGAGGTTTCTAGAACTGGCCTTTCGGAGCTGGCCTGCGTTCAGCAGAGGCAAGTGGTCAAGTGGTGGTAGTCCACCTAGCCCAGTCAGCAGTCCCAGGTAGCCCAGTCCGGTCCAGTCAAGCAAGTACCGTCTGGGACTGTGCACATCRTGGGCCAAGGGATACAGGGCAGACCAACGCAGCGCAGAAGTATAAATCAAGAGGCTGCRTCCAGCCATTCATTCATTCCTRCGGATGCCATGCGGAAGCGCTGCCTCAGCAGCTTGTGCGAGGAGGTCTGCAGTGCGCCTGAAGACGAAGTGGGCAGAGAAGTGTAGTGTAGCGATAGGGTAGTGGCAGCTAGCRCKGCCATAGCCATAGCCTAGTGTGTGTGTGTTGTGTATGAACACTGAGTGTTGCGTGTGGGACATCCAGGGTGATCTCRAGTGTGAACAGTGAGTTGTATGGGCGCACAGTCGCCATAGCCAGTTGGAAGAGAACTCATATCTGGTTACGATATCTTCGAGTACTGTGTGGGCGCATGTCACCAGTTTGCTGTATCGCTGTTTGCAAGCATGATGAAGTGTGAACAAGTCGAGTATGATTGCACCAGATCACAGACACATGAAATGGCATTACAAACTTGCGAAGGATGCTGAAGGAAGAACCCTCGGAGCACCCCCTCTCACCTAGAGATGTAAGCTCTTCAGCCGAGTCCAGAGCGCCAATTGTCACAAGTAGCTCAATTGCGTTCTTCACCTGGAGTCATACAGAAATTTCTCTAAAATTGTAAGCCACATAAGAAACAGGTTGTTTTAGATATACATCACAACAGCCCCTGTTCCACCCAGATGAGTAGATCCAAAATCAAAGCAACTTTACGGTCTTTACCTCTATTGCAGACAATGAGGCACACTTGAGATGAGCCAGTCCAACAATGAAACAGTTTTAGTGCTGGTAAATGGTAACCCCGGACCCGGACACCGGACACTTCCGGACTGTCTTCCGGCCCAGTGTCGGGACCGGTCCAGACTCTCCGGTGATCCAGAAATCACCGGACACCGGACAGTTCGGACCGGTCCCTGTGCTGCAAAAATGTCCGGATCCAAAAAAAAAAAAACGGGGGTGGGGGGCGGGTTGGTGGGGGTGTTGGCAGGCACTTACCTGCTCTCCGCTCTATAGTTCAGACGGTAGAGCATGTGTCTTGCAACAAATCAACCAGAGCACATTAACTACCAGACATGCAGAGTAACAGTGCAAAGCAGGCACAAAACTAAAGAAACAGAGAATCTTTTTTTGAAAAAGTATGATTAATTTTGAAATTTGAACTTTGGATTTAGTAATTCAAGTTCATAACTTCATATATAACTAAAAAGTTCGAACTTTGCAGTTCAATTCAGAACATCAGAGTCTTAAGTTCATAACTTCATATATAACTTAAAAGTTCAAATTTTGCAGTTCAATTCAGAACGTCAGAGTCTTCAGACTGCCAGCACTGTCAGTGCTCTCTCTCTCTCTCTCTCTCCCCCTCCCCCCCCCAACGGGCAGCAGCGGCGGGCACCACGTCGAAACGGCCMCTTGGAAATTGCTCGGGGCTGTGTGAAACCCACCACCCCAAAAACCCGCAGTGTCTTGTGTCCGGACCTCTAGGCCCTGTCCGGTGGGGTGAAACGACACTGAAAAAACACCCCGTTATCTTTCAAGGGGCAGCCAGGACCCGACAAAAGTTCTGGGCCGCCCCCATTTTTTTTATTTTTTTTTTGCCCCAGGGGCCTCCATCCGGACATAAGGACTGGACACCGGACACTGGACTGTCCGGAACCCGGTCCGGACATCCGGAAGGTTACCATGGTTTTACCTCTACTTTTTCACTTTCTTCAGTATCTTCACTTCAGTAGTTCTCTTTGGGGTACCCCTTTTGTTTGTTCTTGCAGCTCCCCTTTTACAATGCCTCTCAGGTACCCCTTTTTTGTTTGTTCTTGCAGCTCCTCCCCTTTTACAATGCTGGCCATGCTGATTGTAGTTGAGCGCCAGCTGCCCAGTGTGTGTGTTTGCGTATGTGTGTGTTGTCATCTTCGCCATACACGACTCTGCAAAAGAAGCAGACTGTGCCAGACTGTTCCATCAGACTTTCACCGACTCAGCAGGAGGTTGAACACCAACAGTCTGCCTGTGTGTGTGTGTGTGTGTGTGTGTGTGTGTGTGTGTGTGTGTGTGTGTGTGTG